ACCAAGGTACTCCTTTACCTCATTAAGCCAGTAATAAGACCGCTAAGGAGCGAAGGTTGAGCATGAGACCAGCACTCCCACCTCGTAAAAGTAAACACTGCCACCGAAACTTCAGAGCTCTAGCTTGAAGCCTTGTGTTCCACTAAGAACGTGAATTAATTAAAAAATTTAGTAGGGGTCAACACTAGATTATTACATAACCAAGAAATCTGTAAAATAATTATGACTAAGAAGGATAGAATGAGTTGGAAGAGTTACACAGAAGTACCAAGATACAAAAAATTTAATTAAATGAGCTGTGATCACAATAAAGCAACAAAGTCAGAAGTTAGTTACAAGGGTGGAGGAAAATCGTTTGTAAAACTTAATACATACTATGTAGTTGGTCATGACAAAGAAAGGCGCTGAAGATTTGGCTTGTTCAGATGTATGCCAGTTGCCGCTGCTGTATGTACAAGTTGTACTCGTAGAGCATGTGGAAGGTTAGTGGAAAATACGATAAATGACTTTAAAAGATGAATTTCTTTGATCGCACGCCTATTGTAACTAGCTCCTTACCAGTAGTTAAACTGATAAATACACGTCAAAGTTAGAGAACCAGGCAGTTTGTCTTTATTTTTGAATTGATTGCTGGTTAGCTAGTGAGTAATCAGCATAACTCAGCTACAGTTAAATTTATTTGAAGGCCCTTGTCAGAAATTGTGACAAAAGTCTGACTGTTGACATCTCCCATCAACTGCGATCTTGGGAACATTGAGTATTTATATTAAACAGAAAATAGCCTCTGTGTTCTACCATCCTGGAGCATATTTAAAGATTTGAAAAAATGTCAGTGGTTTTTAAACATCAAATTTGCATCTAAGAACTTGAGCTGCTAAGACAAGTGACCACTGTCAGCACTGAGCAAATCTAATACATTTTGTCCCGCTAAACATCTGTGTGAAATCAAGAAGAACAAGATTTCATGCAGAAAAACGTTTTGAATGTCTGCAGAAATTTGACTACCACACTCATCTCATAGTATAAAGGGAAATATGACAGTAATTTTCTTGACTTATGAGTGATATGTAATTAAAACAAATGTAAGAATAATAAGTTTTCAGAGAGAACAATAAATGGAGATGACGGAAGTTCAATCATTTAGATCATGAGATTTTCACCTCAGTTTTCTAATCAAGGAGGAGGTAACTTGACGCTTCTAATAACCATGGTTATCATTAGAACTTTTTCAAGTTCCGCACTTAACTTACATCACTCCAAGTCGAAATTATTTCACATACTTTGTAACCGCCATTGTTATATATGATGTTCTTACTACAATCTTATTCGCTTCCTTATTAATATTTATTCTGCATACGTAAATGTATAAATACCTTCATTAGTATGCAGCTCTGTCGTACTCAACAGATGATACTTTCGTTCATCTTTATGATCTTGTGCATCTGGCACCATTTCACTACTGTGTTGTATTTGATATTTCTTGATCCATCTGGTTCTGTAAAACTTTACAGTTTTGAAATTTCGCAGCTAAAAGACACCTAATGCGGATTTAACATGATGAAGTTCATGAATTTCTTAAGCGAAAATGGTGAGTGAAAAGTGTTTATTTGAAAACATAATATTGAGTGCTAATCAAAATATTGATCCTTGTACTCAGTACACTTCATAAATAGTATAAGCATTGTCTATTCAGTATGTTTATTTCTAAACTTTTTTTCATTCTGATTATAATCAACGATGTAAGCGACTGCTCCTGTAAAATATAAGCATTCATGAGTTTTCTGGAAGACATCATTCCACACAACACTTACCCACCTTATTATCGCTGAAATACTTCGCTAACCTACAGAATACAACTCCCTTATTACTTTGCTTTTTTGCTGGGTTGAAGGTGATGGAGGAGAATACCTCATTCAGCAGTGCATGCTCCGAATGAATGATTTATTCGAGGTATGAAAAAACCTCACGTCATGGGATTAGGAATACATGGTACTAGATATACTGGAGAAGATTTGTAGCTCAGGTGGATGATTTTGATGTTTGTGACTTAAGCTCTGCACGTTATGAAAGCTTTATGCTTGGCGAGTGTAATTTCTCATTTACAGAAGTTTAGTATCAGTTGAGGTCACAATTTTTAGTTTTTCTGACGTGCCATACAACTGGCAGAAAGTTCTAAAAGTTTAACAAAGCACATGTGAGGCGAAACGTTACAATGAATTATATATACATATCTACCATTTAAATGAACTGTGAAAGGCATAATGCTTTACTAATTGTCTTTGTCTCCTAAAGTTAAGTTGACCTGAAAAGGATTCTTGATCTAGCTTAGCCTACCTTACCATAGTTAGGTGATGATACAGAAAATATGGGAAGGAAATAAAGCGAGGTGACACCGAAGAATTTTAGAAAAATTGGAAGTGGTCACTAGATGATGAATAAATGCGCACTGATTTCAGATGACGTGTTTTTGTAAAATGTGTATTCATTTTGTTTTCATTAAATTAGATGAAACTAAATTTACGGAAAACATTTCATAGAATTAAAAAAATAATGGATTAAGTACTCGATCAAATGGACATTCTAAGTTAGCATTAAGAGATGTCATGCAACTTAGAACGGGTCTTAGGTTCTCAGAACAATGTATATTGATTTAGGTGGGAAAGTTATCACAATCTGACCATGGAGTGATATTAGTTTGAGAACAATTGGGAACCATAAGGTAATGGAAAGCCGTTTCCTTCTAGCTTGGAGCTCTTCAGAAGTGCACGCCAGTGATACCTGGAGAGATAGAACCCAGCACCTTTACGGATGCTTTCTAATGAAGAGTCCTGGACTGGGCCGTAACGCCAAGGCAGTACTTCCTTGTTCTATAGTTGGAATCAAATTGAAATCAGTCATTCCCACGCAAATCAGCAATTGAAATTTTATCACATTGGTAATTACTAAGGAAGTGGAAAGTATAATTCTAAACATAGTTTTGGTTATATATGTCCAGACCAAGTTCACTTTAAACGGTATTGTTGTTTTTGCTGGCGCTTCGCTATTAAATGCTAATAGCTTTATCGAAGTATTATTAAACGGGAATTCACAAAATCTCAGCATATATATATAAACAGTTAAGGAGTGAGACTTCAAGTCATCACACCCCATCAGCGCAAAGATTTCAGTTGTTTCAAGTCTTCTTAGACGAGCACACTCTCTGATAACGGATGAGAAAGAAAAAGAAGAAGAAATATCGAACATTATTGAAACTCTCAAGCAAAACGACTACCTAAGGAACTTCACCAACAAAATCAACACAGACAATAAGTATGGCCGAAAACGCATTCCGAAAACATGGACCTCAACAGTCGTCATTCCACATAGAGCAGAAACGTCAGACGATACCAGAAGAGTACTCAATCAGCTCGATATTAGAGTTTTCTTCAAAACACCAAACACACTCCAAAGCAACCTTGTTCATATAAAAGACGAAATCCAGAAAATTCTGTATCCAATTGTCTCTATAAAATGAAATGCTTGGAATGTGATGCGATACACATCAGACAAACATCGCCAGAGAGACATCAAAATCAGAAGAAATGAACACCGTAGAGCATCTGCTCGACCACCGAGAAATCAGGTTAAACTAGAAAAACTTGAAAAATCATCAGCCATGGACGGTCTACACGCTATAGAATCAGGCCAATAAATTGATTTTGACACTATTAAAATAATCCAGAAAAAACTTTAGAAATCACAAAGAACGTCTAATATCGGAAGCACTTCATATCAAGTGGAATTCAAATTGCCTGAACTGAATAGTAATGATGGACTAAAACAGAATCTGACCTGGTTAAAACACCTCCCTCCCCTCCCGGGTGAAGTGACAAAATCAACACGAATGTGATAAGCAAGTTCACTGTGTAAACACACACTGCTTTCATAACTCTACACACTGATCAAATCCAACAATCTACACTTGGTCTTGTTATCTGTACCAATTGACCTACTTGACAACGAAAAATGACTTCAGACTGACGAACGATGATCAAGTGAGTAGACTTTGTTTTGATATCATAACAGATGTACTATTACTTTTCTTATTTAGTTTAGTGATCTTCAGTGCTTTCAATATGTCCCTTTAAATTGACCTAAGTCTATTTTTCTCACCTCTTAACTCTTTGTTATATATATGCTGAGATTTTGTAAATTCCGGTTTAATAATACTTTGATAAAGCTATTAGCAGCATTAAATAGCGAAACGTCAGTAGAAACAATATCGTTTTGCTTTTTATTCATTGGGAAATATAAAAACATTTATTAGAGTTTTGGTTATTTGAAACCCTGACAATTTTAGCATACCTGAAACAGCCTTAAAACAAATCTCTTGACTATCTGAGCTGTAATGCAGCAGGGAACTTTCAACAAACCTCTTTACACTTTCACAGTTGCATACTGGAACCTTATCTGATGTAGATGTACGAAAATTTACTCTAACCTCCCAGTAGAAAAATCACAGTTAGTCATATGATACTAATGAATAATATTGCAGAAACACAGAAAACTTACCGCATTTGAAGACTGGCCAGTGGTATAGGTGATTCTACTGACAGAACCAGAAAGATATCGATATTTCTTAATATAACTACAAATATAGTATAAACATCTCTCTGAAAGAGCTGCGATCCAGTGAAACATATTTATAACTTTAGAAGCGAAAGGATTTTCAACTATATCTACGAGTTGTAAGACCAGTTTCATAGTTCAGGTAATTATCGTTTTCGAAATTCAATAAGGTATTCCATACTACTCGAATAGTTTGAAGTGAAAACCATTGTAAGCATATTGCACTGAATGCTAAGTAAATTCTGTTTTCATTACTTAAGATTATATCTACGTAACAAACGATTAATAATGACATTTTTGTAAAACCTTTGAAGAACATATATATATATATATATATATATATATATATGAGTATATATATGGGTTTTAAAAAATTTTAAATACGTGCCTACCTTTTGAGTAGTCGGCATACAAATCTGATTATTCTGAATGAGATTATTGGTAGGAGTTAAATTTTTCAACGCTTCCGGTCTTATCTGGAATGCTTGCTGTGCTACATTGTTGAATGAAACATTTTGACATTGTTCCGTCCCACTTCCATTGAAAGGTTTAACAAATGTCTGAGACTGTTTTAATGGTATAATATTACAGGGTAGAAATTGTCTTTGCAAATCCCTTGGTGATGGGCATAGTTCATTTGGAGAGAATGGGTTCACTTGAACTGGTAATGGTTGTAGGTAAGTATTAACTTCATGATTATTATTTGGTGTATTAATTAGGCTGTATTTATTTTCAACACAACTATCATAAATTGATGTTTCTGGATTGCATAGAATCTCTTTAATATCTGTTTCACCGGCCAACATAGCTTTGTCTACTTCGCGTTTCCAACGAGTTATAGCGCCGAGTTTCTCCCGCCAAATTTCTGCATAATTCAAGTCATCTTGAAGTTGGTCAACAACTGAATCACTTTCTTCGTCATAATCTCGACAGTTATTATAATTATTATTTGTAGTTATCAGTTTATTATTATTTTGCAGATAGTCAGGGGATATTTTCACTTTTTTCAATAAATTCTGATATGGCATACTACTATTCACATTGTTATGATTATTATTAAAAAAGATTTGATGTCCAGGTTTATTGTAGGCCTTTCCAGAAACAGTAGCTAACACGTGTTCTTCATAACGTCTTGCTGCAGGTGATAACGACATTTTTTCTACTGTACAGTTAACTTTGTCAACTCTGGAATTTTCATTGTCATCCTCATCGGAGTCATCACCATATTCATAACAATTATTTGATTTGCTTTGACACAATACGACTTTGTTTGCACAAATTTTTGGTAAATGCGGAGAAACACTTGATAAATTCACTGACTGTTTATTTGAAATCTTTTCCTGTCTTATATTGGTTTTCAGCTGATGACATTCTTTAGATGAGACATAATGCTTTTTGTTATTTGATAGGTGAATCGAATCATTCTGTACTAATCTTGGTGATAGAGAAACACTAACGGAGATAGGAGAAATTGGAGATGAAGAATATCCTGATTTATTATCGTTATAATTAACAGAAATACTATAAGGTGACGGCGGTTTCTGATTGGATTTTACACTGTGTGATATATGATTAATTACTTTATGAAATGATTCTGATCTTTCAATTCCAGCTGGTGATGAATTATTTCTTGAATGAGCTCGGTTAGGATTATTATCTGCTGAATATGATCTGATCAGTGTACTACGCTTATCTGATGGCAGTGTTAAGTGGTCAATTGGTGTGTTTTTGTTTGAGAGATTCACTTTCAAATTTTCAAGTAATCTGTTTTTTTCAACATGCAGTCTTGACCAATGAGAGTGATTGTTTGAAGTGAAGTCTGTCTGTATATTTTCTGCTGTTGCATAGGGAGATTTACTTTCTATAAGGTTTTTACTTTTGTCACTAAATATATCACAATCGTCATTATTATTAATATTATTATTATTATCATAGTCATTTGACGAGTTGGTGGAAGACAAACTTGACTTTCTGTCATTTGAATTAAGTGTAGGAAATTGAATACAATGACGTTTGATGGTAACAGACAACGGACGTTTAGGAGTGTAGCCGTTTTCTGTAATTTCTTCAACATTAAAATTAGGATAGTGTATATCACTTGTGCATAAACGTTTCATAATTCCACTGTCATTTGTTGAGATTTCATTACTGTTGAAAGTATTCTGTCCGGTTGGTTGATTCAACCGCGTAACTTGATTAGGATCTTTGGTTGTTGTTGTAGTATTTTCAGTAAGGGTCAGAGTAGAACTTGAATTTCTATCGTTTGTGATCTCTAAGCTGCACAATTCAGGTGTGTTGTAGACCAGTCGATCAGGCTTCTGATTAAGACAATTTAAATTATCATCAACAGAAGCAGGATGATTAAACCTTGGTAAATAGCCTTTACATGTATGCTTTGATTCTGTGCAGTCTATATTCCTATTTTCTTCATAAGTGACAGTCGATCTTTTGGCAGGTGAAAGAGTTCTAGGTGAATCACACGCTGAAAAGATCGGACTTACAGGGGTCGATATGGATTTATATTTCGGGATGCTTAAGTGTTCATTATAACCATTACTAAACTGCTTGTCAAAATTATTTGTAATTGTTTTATTTTCAAAAGTGTCTTTAATCTTATAGTCTTGATATGTACAGTCGACACTACTAGATCTCTGGTATTGTCCCATATCCTGAGTTATACATACACTAACTGGTCGTGTAATGCGTTCACCTTCAGTGGTTTTATTTCTTGCAATACGAGGAGGTTTAGGTGTAAAGTAATTTTCCCAGCTTTGTTTTGCCAGCGCTACCTTGCCTAGATTTTGTGAATCACTGGATCTTTTTGAGATGCGGCTGTTGTGATTAGAATTATGCGTTTGTTGTTGTTGGAGAGATGTAGGTTTCCGTGAATGTGGAACAGAAGGATGTTCACCAGCTATTGTTATCCGTCTTCGAATAGTTTTATGCTTTTCACTTTCACTGGAACTTATCATTTCTTTAGTTATATTAGTCAAAATACATGGTTTGACGCCATTTTGACTGTAATCCACTACATTCTGACAATTAGCTGAATGATTTCCTTCAGGCACTGATAATTTATTTTGGTTGGACACAGATAATTCATTATTCCTTGACATATTTTGTTTTGTTGCCATATTTTTTCTTGTGACTTTCTGACATCTTACGAGTGCTGTTAAAAGACTTTCTTCACTATTGTGCGACCAGTTCGATCTAAATGTTGTGCAGTCTTGAATTTTACTTGTCAGACTACTGTTTACTGACAAGTGTTCATTAGCAAGAAAAAGACTGTCGAATTCTGAATAAGAAATACTTTCGCCTGCAAGTGATTGTGGTGGACTATCAGGGGAGTATTCACTAGGCAATAAATTGCCTAGATTTTCACTTGTTCTTAAACAATGCTTATCCAAATTTCTGTTGTTATAATTATTATTTCTGTGACTTTTATTGATGTCATAATAACATTTATGAGATGTTGTCGGCGCTGATGTTCTTCTTGTCTGCAGTTTAACCGGGATCAAGTCTGGAGCAGGATAAGGTGGTATTGGCAGAGAAGGAGGGAATAAATGCGTCGGTTGCTTCATCGATGCAGATGATGTCGTAGAGAATCGCTAAAAATAGGAAAAGCACTGTAAATTACACTAGCATCTTTTCAATATAATTTTTTAATACATTTACTGATCTCAGGAGCTGAATACCGGCTTTTCTAGTAATACGTCTTCTGAATGTGAAACTACATTTTAATCACTAGTGGCATGTGTCTAGACCGTTGTGATGTTGAAGACTGATTTCTGTCAATCAATAAAATTTAGCTTACATCAACACCAGGAACTAGAAACGTGACACTTGCAGCCTAGAGACCAGTCAAAACACCCATTACGGTCCTACAGGATGTTAATCGGGAGCACTAATAACTCACTATTAACGTAACTTACTACAGCAAGAGATGGTATGGGCTTGAATCTCAGTGAGTGGGGGGAAATCATTTCCTTCGAAGTTGCAAACATGCCTTGCTGATGACTGCCAATAAGTAAAAAAACTTCGTGCAAGGCCTCCTGTCGGCTACATCTAATCATAGAAAATCGAATGTTAAACTACTGTACTGTAGTCCATATGGTCCCAGAGAGAAGTCTGTTAAGTGTGTGACGTGTTACTTTTTTTCAAAATTCTGTTTTCAGTAAGGTAGACTTAATAAGTACAATTTTAATGTAGTATAATATAAATTTTTTAAAAATGCAACGGCCTTAATACCGAATAATAATCAGATCTCATATACCAAATGAAGAGTGCTCATAAAAGTGTTTAGGAAATTGAAAATATACCATATTTTATTTTAAACTGCATTTACTCTAATTCTACTTGAGGGGGAAGGATTTCCTGAGTTCCTGGTGGTACCCATATACACAAATCAGGTTTCCTAACAGAATAGGTTAGGTATAAAGTTTAAGTTATGACCGATTATCTAGTATCTAGTAATTATAGTGGTTGTGAATATCAGTTTCCAAGGATAAAAGAAATTAAAGTAAAAAATTTCAGTGTATGCGGAACGCACAGTTACTTACCTTATGAAGGTGGTAAACTGAAAGTTTTGTGTCTGTAAATTCAGACTGAAACTCAAATTTAGATTCCATTCAATGAGTTTTATGAGTTGAAGGCATAAATATGCAGTTACATTGAAAGGACAGAAAGAAAGGCATATCTACGATTTTCTGAACATGCACCACAAAGCTTACGTCTAAACAGTGCCATCACTAAGCATCTCCTCGACACGGGTTGTGAGATGGACGTTGAAAAGTCATTCAAAATTATCAGTAGGCAAACGAGCTCAATTCTTCTCAAGTTTGCTGAAGCCGTTTTCCCAATAAACGCCTGAAACCTGGTTTTTGAGTCCAGAAGAAAGCGGTTATCTGCTTTCTCTGCCCTAGGAACTGGGTGTTTTCCTCTCTCATTTATCTGAATGCGAAATGCTGAAAAGTTTCCTTTGTGTATGATTCTTATTGTTCGGAATAGTGTATAATATTATATATATATATATATATTCTTTCATGTTCCCCAGTGGAACATAGGGCTTCAAGCTAGTGGCTTGAATTTTCTGTAGCAGTGTTTATTTTACAGGATGGAGTTGGTAGCCTCATCCCAAACCTTTTCTCTTTACCAGGAGTGCGTCGACTGGGGCTCGAACCCCGGACCGTGTGCATGGTCGCTGAGCGTCCTAACCGCTATGCCACCGACACACTATATGTATTGATTTGTGCATATAATGATCGATTGAATTTTGTTTAAAATGAACTCTGTGCAGGTATGTTAAAATCGTTTTTGCAGATATATTTAATAATGTCTTTGGCCTGTAAGCAGCTGACAAGAAGGCAATGCAATAAAAGATGGTACCAATTTTTTCTGCTAAAAGTGTAGTTCTTGCTATGTTCAAATTCATTAAGGGGGAATAAATGTATGAAGTTTTAAGTTTTTACAGACTCATTATGAGCTCAGAGGATAACTATGATCAACGTCATCGTCATCACTGTATTATTAACTAAACTCTTATGGTGATAACTAAAAATATGAACGTTTATTTTGTCACTGGCATGTGTGGGAAAGAGTTAGATGATTCAGATGACCGAGAGAAAATAAAAAAAAATTTATTTAGTGCATGGTAACTAGCATCAGATAAAACCAAATACTACTGGCTAGTTTTCATGAGTGGTTGCATAGTACTCGTATCAACTAGTAGTCCCCGCTGGCCAGATCGAGTTGATTTGGGAACAAGCTCATCAGCTGTGTACCTAGTGTGACTAAGCTGAAAGGCCGGAATCAGTTCAAACCCCCTATCCTATTGTTTGGTATGAGTCGTACACAACTACTCATCTCAGTCAATCAGTAAGTAGTATGCAGTGCTATGCAAATATGTTTGTTTGGCTTCCTGATTAACATTTATTGGATCAAGCAGATTACATACTATGACCTAAATAATTTAGTTTCTAGAGGAAACTATGGTAAAATTTCACCACTTGAACTGTCTACATTTTAAATCGGTAGATAATTTGAGAAGTGGGAATTTTGCAAGCAGTGGAATGCAGAAAGGGCATTTTATCCAACTCGGGGACCGTCAGCTGGATGTAACTGTTATTCTCAGTGGGGGAAGGTATTTCGATTAAGACTCAAACTCAGCGCCCATCGTTTCAAGCACCAAAGCGCTATCCACTAGACCACCTGTCCCAGGAGGAGCTTACATGTTAACAGAGGTCAAAAATCTCGGTTCAGTCAACTAATAGGAAAACAGAAATTAATTCAAATAAAATCAATTATATCCGTAGCGGTATGTAGGGAATTTTGAAGGTAATTAGGCATACGTCTATTACACAGTGGGTGAAGGTAAGAATCCAGGTTGTTTGCACATCGTTCGAATATACAAGTTTACTGTTATTTGTAATAATTGTTTAAGGAGAGGACGTGTACGTCTCTATGTAGAAGGAAGAATAGCTGATATACTACACAGGAGTCTTTCGCTTAGACTTGTCCTTCACTGTCTTCCAATCTGAACAGTGATCTAATTTTCCGATCAAATTAATAAATAAAAATAAATTTTATTGCCCAAATAATTGTCGCAAAAGGGGAATTTAAATTTTATACATATAATAATAGTTTTGTGAAAGACAGTAGTTCAATGTTAATAGATTACATAGGCACTAGGCGTATGAGTTAGTTAATGTGCATTTTCATCAGGCGTCACTTCAGCTGATCTACAAGTACTACAGGCGATAATTAATGCTCTGTTTTCAGCATATTGCCATCTTGCTTACTGTGTTTAAGTTCATTTTAGTACTATACTCAGCTGATTTATTAAGTCACAGCATCAAGACACGTTTTGTACCAGTTTATCCTCAAGTTTATCTAGACATCGGAAAACATAATTATTAATGGCGTAAAGGAGCAGATTCCTTCACCAATTTTTTCTCTTTTATGTTGTATTTGAAACCAGACAGAATTACAAGGATGTTTTGAATCTGCATTAGTGTGCTGTAGACGCGCCCATTTTCAGAAGGTAATAGTTTTTATGGTCTCAATATTTATATACTAACATTAAACCTCATTATTTTACATTTTGTTTGTGTTCACTAAGTCAGCTAAACGTCAATTATGATTAAAAAATTATTCAGAATGTTTTGTCTAGCCATCTGTAAAATAAATATTCCAAGGATTTAAAAAGCAGCATACTGTCGAATTAATACATACAACCGGTAGACACTCATTTACCACTGTTTATTTGAATTAATAAACGTGAAATAATAGACGTTTATTTTGAAAAACAAACTTACGCTACTTATGTTTGTGCTAGCAGTTAGGAGGACTTTCCTTCAATCGTAAGAAGGTATCGATATAGAATCCTTCAAACTGCGAAACACATGGTTTTACGGACTAAACTCTTGAAAATTAATCTGATGCTCGCTAGTGACTTACTTAAGGACAGAGGTTCATGAAGTTCTAGTGAGAAGTCGTGATCAGTGAGGTACATTCAGTCAAGTGTGTGGATGGAGTTCCCACCGGTGACATTGGTTGGTAGTCACTCTCAATCAAGAACTGGTAGAATTTAGAATTCATGAGCTGGCCAGTGGCTGAATGGCATACGAGTTCGCCTTGTCACCGGGTGGTCCTGGGTCCAAACCCCGGAGGTGGGTGTTTACTGCCTGTGCTTTCCAAACTAAAAAAGAGGAAACAGCAGTCCAGTAAGTACTCCAGTGGTGGTTTTCTAAGTGATATCAATCCGTGTTCAAACTCGTGTAAAGAGACATTAACTATTTAAGTCATTGAATCAAGATTTATCTTGTGGTCTTATGGCTCAAATCAGTTTATTTTAAAAGATATGGTTACGATGAACGTAAAGATTAGTTAGAAGGCCTTTGGTTTGACAGACACAATAAAAAACTGGATTGTGGCAGGATAAAATTAAGCTTGGTGACTGGTGCAAAGCCAAACGAACGGTAACGTGCGTCCAGATAATATCTGGGTATTACCCACTGTGAATGTGATCAAATGGTGACTTAGTTAGCCAGTGGGTCTTGTAACTCAGTTGATGGCGTGTCAGATTAGTGTCTAATTTTAGTCCCACTAGGACCCAGGTTTTTAATTAAACTTTTATTCATCGTCCATTATTCATTTTACTGCTAACTGATATAGTAAACAGTGAATATGTATATATGTTTAAAATTGTTAAGAACTATGATTGTCGCTGTTTGAACACAACTATCCAACAAACTAACAATTCTTGATCATGTCAATGTAAGTTACAAATCTACTCTATCTCGGTAATACTTAATTTCATTTGTCAACTGCTGTATAATGTAATGCGATGATTAATTTACTACACATAGCAAATGATTCTCCAATTTACTTTGCACCATACCAATGAGGACTTTTGAAAAATAGGCAAAAGTGTGTAGCCTAAATCACGTTTGCTGACTGACTGCATGAATGAGTCATAGAGTTCGCATATCTTCGATAATATTAGATGGTTGGAGGCAATCTGCAGGAAGCCTTCGACCTAGGTTTCGTGCTAGTTGGCACTCGTCAGCAGGGCGTATCTGCAACCTTGAAGGAACTCATGTCCCTTCTC